TTCTAAAATAGTGTTTGGAGGTCCCTTGATTTTTCGCCCGCGTAAAATTTGTTTGCGTCTTTAAAGGGCTTTTGTATCCCCCTGCGGGGGGGGTAAAAGTTGCCCTGTCTTCACGGAAATGTCCTTGATGGTCGTGGTTGTGGAGGTTTAATACTTGGAATGAGGATTGGAAAAGATTTTGGAAACGTGTTTGGCAATGGAGTTGGTGGGGGGGGACTAGTATCCTTCTGGCAGTGTTTCTCTGGGGTGTTGAAGTTGTTTAATGCCGTGTCTGCAGTTTGTAAAAGTGACGAGGTAGTGGAGTTTAAAAAAAACTTGTTCAATTTATCGTGCATTCTTCTTCAAGAAATCATTGCTGCAGATTTGAGTGCAGCAGGAAAAAAGCCTATAATTCCCCACTTTTAGTTTTGGTGTCGTGGTGAGAGTAGAGTGGAAAAGATCTTTTTGGGTTTGGTGGGTTTTCGTAGACTTTAAAACAAAGGGTTCGGGTAGCTTTGCAGAGCAGAAAAAAAGGGAAAAGGGAAAGGTGTTGTCGACTTCTTCTTCAAGTGTGAAGGATTTAAAGGCCGACCTGGTTGGGTTTCTTGGAGCTTGAACGTTGAAGGTTTGGAGTTATGGGAGTTGTCGTCATAAAACGGAGCAGGGACAGACGAAGGAATAATGGTGGAGAAACGTTCGGCTTTAGATGTTCCTGTTGGGTTCGCCAGGACCGCACTGAGTGGGAACCCTGGGTAGTCCAAAAAGTCTCTAAAAATGTGATTTTCAAAAGAGAACACTAAAGTCAACACAATTCAACAAGGTCAATGAAATTGCTGGCGGGAAAATAGGAAGATAAAGGAATCGTCAATTTTCTGCGCGAGATCGAGGGTTTTATGTAGTGGATTTTTGGGGAATTGGGAGTTACTTTTCAAGGTAAGAGTTTCTTTTCCCTGATGCTGATGTTGCGAATGCGATTGAGAAGCCCCGGGGTTTTTCGGATGTGCTGGACTGATAGTCCCCAAGAGTTTAGAGGGTTTTTAGCGAACCCCTGAGAGTTGGTGGGGAGCATCCCTTTCCCGAGGTATGGGCCTCAAGGGGTACCTGGAAAAAAACAGGAGAAGAGGTTCCCCTCTTCTAGGCATTTTTTAGTCCCCTTTTCACGACACGCTGACTCAGGGAAAGGAAAATTCTTCCCCAAATATCCAAGAGATTTAAAAGAAATAATATAAAACCAAAAACTTTTAAAAAAAAACGAAGAAAACTCAAATGAGTGTGTATACACATACATGTATGTGTATGTGTAGATGAAAAAGTGTAAGTAGAAGTTAATTTCCCAAGGGGGGGATTGAACCGCGGTTAGAGAGTCGTAAAACCCGGATTTTACGACTCTTGACCCCGGGTTCGTCCCTCCCCTGGTACTGTTTTTTTCATGTGTCATAGAAATAGAAAAAAGTACCTCTTTTTTTTTTTTTTTAAATTTTTTTTTTTTTTTTTTTTTATTGATTTTTGACAAGGAAGGATTCCTAAAATTGTTAAAAAAAAAATTAGGGGGTTTTAACCTTTTGGGGGGAAAAGGGGTAAAAATAACCCTTTTTTTTCAGGGGATTCCTTTTTCATTTTTAGAATAACCTTTTAACTGTAGTTAAAAAGCCCCCTTTTAAAAAACGGGATATGGAGCACCTTTCCTAAAGGGAAAAAATTTTAAAAAAAAAAAAATTTATATTTTTCCAGTTTTATTGTGTTCACTTTTGGGCAATTCTCAAATTGTTACTTGAGATAGGAAGGACCCAAACATCGTTCTTGTTATTGTGGCTTTATTTTTTAGAAAAATAGAACTAATAAATTACTTCTAGATTTAATAACAAATGTAAGCAAAAATTGTATTACTTAAGATACAAAATTTTTTGGGAACTTTAAAAAGTTTGGAGGGGAAAGAAGGATAGGCAAGAATAGAATATAGAAGAAGGGTGGAGGGGATTTGGGAGAGGGAGTAATAAAAGAATGAAACCCTGACCACTTTTTGGTAACTTACAAAACCTCTGGTTAAAGGAGAAGTTTATACTTTAAAATTAGATTTAAAAAAACTTAATTTGCGAAGAGAGAAAGATAGATGATAATATACACTTGGAAAATCCTAGAGAGATTAGTACCAAATTTGCACACGAAAATCATCCCTACGAAAGCAAAGACTCGGCGGGAGACGCAACATCCCCAGTGAAAAGTAGGGGCACCACTAACACGACAAGTGACAAAACACTAAGTGTCAGGGGCCCAATACTGTTCAACTGCCTCCCAGCATACATAAGAGGGATTACCAATAAACCCTTGGCTGTCTTCA